GGCAATCTGTTTTGCTCATAACTACCATGGATAACCAGTCCATTTGATGGATCTCTGCTTGGAAGATAGTGCTGTAAAAATTAATTAATTGATTCGACATATTTTTAATTCATTCTAGTTCTGGGAAAAGGCAAGTAAAGACATACAATATGAAATAGTCAAGGCTATGCCGAATGAAATTGAGGAGGTCCGATAGTTCTACCTCCACTATCTTTTAAAGCTAGTAAAGAACTGTCGCTTAAATATACACAAAGCAAGAGTAGTCTTCATCATGACGCTTAGCCATCGTTGGATGACGCTGGTAAAAATACTTTTATGCATATTTATTTAGTCTCAAAAAGCTTTCCGCCTTTTTTTGATTAACTTCGGCTTTAGAGATTTTTTAACCCCAAAATCATTTATTATATCCTTCTCATAAGCTGTTTTGTTACTCTTGACATTGCTATATATCTATATTCAGTGGCCCTGTAGAGAGTGAAGTGAAACCAGCAAGGCTCTACAATTTTTGGATTCTACGAAACTGTCGCTGGGCCCCGGGTTCACCGAGTAGACACTAACGCCTTTTCCGCGTCCATTTTTGAACTGTCAGTATAGTACCGTAGAATAGTAGAATTGAGAGGACTGCATGCCTTTCTTCTCTAGATGGAAAAACGTATAGGTATTCTTCTGAATCATTAGAAGTGATTTTAGAAAGAGAAATCACTATTACAAGTACTGTTCTTGTGTACGTCATTTTTAAGCATAATCTGTTTTCACTTTATTGAAGTTTCTAAGCAAATCGTTCATATTAAAATAATGTGCAGACCTACATTTGTACATACGTACATACGTATGTACATGTATCCTCCTTTTTTTTGGGTTGAACTAATTTGCATATCCCATGGCAGATAGCTAAAATAAAAGCTGAGTCAGTAAGCATTTATGTGTTTTTTTTTTTCATCGTATGAAGCACTTCGACATTCTGTGGTGAAACCCTTTTCGTGTTTGTTTTTTTTTTTTTTGGCTTTTCGAAAAATATTAACAGCCTATATCAAGCCTTACGCTTACATTTTACTGACAGGACATTCACATCACATTAAATGAAAATCACTAGCGACAACAACAAGTGTTCGCAAAACACGAAGACTAAATGAAGCGCCGTTTTTGCGCAATCAAAGGACGGCGAACTCATTACACACTTTCATCCATTGTCCGCTCGACAAACGCTTTGCTAGGATTTGGGTGGTTAGAATGATGCGCCCGAAACGCTTGGCTGCGCAACAATCGACCGGTCGGTCGGTCGGCTTTGCGTATTTAATAAAAATGCCAAAAAAGAAATTGAAATGCGCACGAGCGAGCATCAATCATTAAATTCATGATTACTTATCTCCTCTGCTTTATGAAAAAAAAAACTACTTAATGTAAAGGAGTTGAAGAATAGGGCGTTTTGAAGTCATAGCAAGCCAGTAAGCGGCGAGCAATGTGCTGTTGCACATACACACGTATGTATAATGATGTGGAGTTCGAAGCTACAACTACGAGAAGTTACTGTAGACGAATTGAAATAGTAATGAGGTGGATGATCCACAGAGGCGTGAGGACAGGCAGACAGTAAATCGCCTAGAATGGCGGACGAACTGATTAGTGCAAAACTACTGCAATGAGACAGAACAACAACACAATTAAAGGGTTGGTTGCCCTGCTCGTAACGCACAAATACCTATTTACAAGCCAAGGCTCCATTGTAGTGGTTAGTAATGAACCCTAAAATCCTCTCCCACGAGTTTCTCACAAGTAATCCATCTATATTCTATCTCTGGAAGTAAACTCAATCAGCCTTCGGATCTGAACGTTCATATATGAATTTAAAATGTGCCTCGCCCTCCCTTAGACTGTTTCAGTAGGTTAGTCCATGTCCAAAAAAGTATTGTAATGGAGTTATAATGACTCGACAGAGTGGGAATTGAGTACAGTAGATTTGGCTACCAGGTCACGGAAACTAGCATTGGCCAAAACTTTGATATCCATCTTCCTGACAGAAGTGAATGGAAGTTTAATTTTGGACTGGTTTTAGGTCTGAAATTTTAAGAAAAAGCCATTGCTTAGTTTTTATTCATACGGCCCAGTGTTCTAATCCCCATTTTCACGGATGGCTCTGAGAGAGTTCTGTAGACTCTCAGATCCCTGCAGCGTTTTCCAGGCTGAGATACATGCAATTGACATGGACATGATATCCATTAACTTGCAATTGTCGAGCTGTCATCAAAGACATAGGGTCGGCAACGACTAAAGGCTCAGTTATGCATACTTGGCATTGCATGACAGTTGTCACTTAAGGAATCTGTTAAATGAGCTTTGCGAGTAAGCGGTTATCCAACGCTCAGCATTACATAGGTATGTAGAAGTCTGTTGGTTGATTTATACGTAAAAATGTCATTATATGCAGTGCAGTGAAAAGTATGCATAACTGAGCTATAACTCGATATGCGTTAAGGAAAACCGAAGAACCCTACAAGCTCTTCAACACATAACCAATATTTACTGTGTTCCGGGAAATGAGGAAGCGGACGAATGTGCTAGAAAGAGATCTGAGATAAGATTTGGATTTCCTGTCTACAGAAGTTGAGAAAGTGATCAGGGTGAACGAAGAACACGGAGTTTCCTAAGGCTCTCAAGGCCAAACGTAAGGCTTTTCAAAGGAATAGTAGCCCGACACTGGGCAATTGGATACATGGTCGCCAGGTTTGGAGCTCTTTAAAACGATCTCTGCAGAAGCTGCAGAAATGAAGGGGAGATAGAATCTGTCCTTTGCGAGTACACTGGGGAACCACTTCTTCGAGATCCTAGACAGCTTAGGGACAACTCCATTTGGTCGTCCGCTAGGATTCGCCAGAGAATCAGGATGGTTAAAAGACATGTAGGGATAAGCATGGGGAAACCATCTGGGTATCACAATGGGCCTCTGCAGCCTCCGAGTGAACTATTTTCAAAGCTGCCTGCATAACCTAAACCACCCACTACAGCGAATAATATTTGAATACAATATTTGACTTGCATTGGAAGAGCTTGCTGAGCACCCCCGCCATCTTCGAGTATATTTTAAAATCGACGATTTAGATACCTTCTTAATTTGGAATATTAGCTCTGTGAACTGTTGTAGCCTTCTCCAGACTTAATCGTATTCGATGTGTCTTAAGCAAATAATAAAATTTCGTTAGCTCAAGTAGTATTCAAAAAACGGCATGTTCGAAGTCAACTTGATTACTGAAATCATACCCATCAAAAGCACCGAATGTTATTCTCAATATGATACTCATGGATCTTTACCTAAAAAGGCTGTCGTCATATAATAAATTGAGAACGAAAACCGTTGTGCATAGCTCAATTATATGAAAGGTTTAGTTACAATCCAGAAGGTATTAGGGAATATGGGCAAATCCTAGCGTTGCGGACGTTATGTTTGGACGTTTCTTTTAACTTTTTTGCAGACAAAGACATTATAAGTTAACAATTTTTTGTGGTTTAAGGGAGGGTTTATAGGAGTACTTATGAGAACAAAATAATGGAAATTTGAATTTGTGTTAATGTCGGTGTATTTGCCTTCGAAATGTATGTTCGGACGTTACTTAAAAAGGAAGCGATTTTGATATGACCATCAAAGTCAGCCGATTTGCGCAAATTGTCATGCATGGAGATCACGATCTACAAAAATACTTTGAAGAGAAAATCGTAAAGTTTACAAAAAGTGATATAAAAGCAAACTAAAGGTTGGATTAACTTTAAAACAATTGTTTATGTGCGTTCCGGACGTTACGTTACGGACGTTACTCCTTTTTCCGTTGAAAAAAGTGATTTTTTTTAAAGCGATATTGTTGTATTTTCTTAAAAGATAAAGTGTTTAAACCAATGCTATTTAAAGCTCTGTTTCAAAAAGTAAGAGTGGGAAATCAGATTTCTCAAATAAATCTGAAAAGAAATATGAAATAAGAATATGTTGTACTATGCCTTTTTTGACACAAAAATGAGAGAATTCGAATTGCATGCATTTTTTGCGATTTTGGTTGACTATTTCTCGGATTCGCCCATATACCAAGTTTCTGATAAGGAAGCTATCTGTGTCTAACGCTCATGAAGTGCCGTGTAGCGACTGGAGTATATTCCAAAGAGCTTGGTATTCCCCAGATGGGTAGATGTGGGGCCCGTAGGAAATTAAAGAATAACATTGCGATCGTTCGTTGAAGTTTGGCCACTCAAATGAAGCGTCCTAAAATTGTTTGTGCTCTATAAACGGCTGATAGGTTTTAGAGGAAGCTTTGGATAATTGATTACACCTAGCGACAGCTAATTTCACAAACAAAAAAATAAATATATTCGCGAAACTAGGCGCCAAAAATTGTAAAACTATGCTTTTAGTGGGGGATTTGTGGGGATTTCTCTAAAAGGACTTTGGAGTTTTAAAGAATTGATTAATTTTGAAAATTATTTAAAATACTCAGTGCAATGTAGAATAACAATATGGGTATCATATAAAAAAAATCTGTAGAATTAAAAAAGTTCAAATGTTTTTTAAATTTTATCCTTGAAAATTTGCAATATGCATTTTGAAAAAAAAAATTATATTAAGGACTAACAACAATGACAAGACCACATCTCGATTTTCGTCCTTTGCGACAGAATTTGTTCTTTATTTTTGTACCCATATACTTATTCCACATTGCACTGATTTTTTTTTTTAATAATTTTTTGAATGTACCATATTTTTGAAATTTGTAAGTCCCTTTAAAAAACCCTGACGTCAGAGAGAAAAACTAAAAACGCAGTTTCACTTAAGTTCTGAAATTTATGAGGTTTTCTCGCTCGGTTTTATACTGCGAGTAATATCCTTTATCGAGTAGGACATTTTACGATATTCAGTTATACTTGCGTTTTTTCGTTGTGAAGAAACTCGAATTTTAATAAAATTTTTTAAAATAATTTTATTTTAAACAATATTTTTTTAAGACTTACCGGACAAAGCCCTGAATTCTTCAAGGTAATCCATATTCTTCGATAGCGGCGCCACTTTGGAGCCGTTCTCTTCTGGTTTCGAATAAATTTTGAAATTTCACAAAGATCAAAGAAGTATAAATGATTTAGAGACCCAATATTTAGTGTGGTGTCACTCTCCACTAAGAACAAAACACGTGATAGGCAAACTATTTATCTTCACTGTTTATGTTCACTGTTGAATAATTTCATAGGAATCGTACTTCAAATAAAAATGTTGAAAAGTTTAATTTGAAGAGTAAAGTACTCCTATATACTTCTCAAGTACAAATGTGATATTTCGAAACATAAATCATGAAAAAGAGCCCAATGTTTCGAGAGTTTATCTCGAACGGAGAATTTTCACTTAAATTTTATTTATGTATATTAAGCTATAGTAATATTTGAATGTAGATTAAATCACTTTAAGGCTTTGTTAAGCTCAAAATTTAAACTGCGCATTAAAATGTGTAAGCCGAATGCATTTAGATTTGTATGTGTATGTATGTAGGTATTTGTATTATATTTTCTTCTAAGCACCCACTTCCACTGGCCCAAATTATCACCAACAAGCAAAAACACTTTTTTTTATCAAAAAAATGCATATGCATACACTATAAAGCAAAAAATTTCACCAAATTAAGCAAAAAGCATAGCACATTCGCTAAAACACAGCACAAAAATGCACACACGTACGCTAGGACCTTCCTCACCGTGCGCTCACGAATACCACCGCCACGCACGAATACGGCGACAAAACTGGTGAGCAAAAGGCATTTTTGGCTCGATTTGAAAACAAATAAGACTACAGGGGTAGCAAGACGAAGCAGGCATTATTGTGTTACAAACATAAGTACATCTCAATGTGTTTGCCCATAAATGTGTATGTGTGCGTGTGTGTGTTTGCGTGAAGCCAAAAGGCAAGGACTCGCAGGATAACTCATTGTTCCTGGCGCTGTTGTGTGGCGTCTGTGCGCGGTTATGCCCTAAGCATTTTGAGCGAAAGTGAAATTTTGAAAAGCAATTTAATTCTGTGCCATTGAATGACAATTGTGCAGAGTGGAGAAGAGAAGCATGTGCGCTTGTGTGTGTGTGTGACTCCCTTTTTAACGTTAAGTTGATGATTTTCAAAAATATGCTCAAATCACTCACTACACATTGAGTGTTTGAGCGACAGAGAGTTTGAGCAGCATCGTAATGTGTTTGAGTATTTCTAATTTGTTTTCTCTTATTCTTTGTTTTTTCTTTTCTTTCGTAAGACCGCAAAGGATATGCGCCCGGCATATGGGAAAGTTAACAAAACGCATGTAAAAGGTGGCTTGTTAGGCATTTCCTGTGCTTCACGGTCTCTAATTTCACTTAATGTGCTCCTTCTTTACTCCCCCATCGTTCATCTCCCGCGCACTCCTACACAACGCGTTGTCTGCCGCTTGGCAGCGTGCAATTAATAATCATAATTCTCATTAATTTTATGTGCTGCTGTTGTGTAGTCATACATACATATAGACAGTGGCATATATGTAGAAAGCGGCACATCGCGCCCCCTTTCGGAATCTCAGGAATCTCGGGAATGTCTACAAATAATAACAACGACAACCACAAATGTTGTGCGTAGCAAATGTCGTCTTTTTGAGAATAGAAAAAAATATACATATAAAATATCCAACATAAAACCACCCCGACGCGGCGACCTTTAATGAAATACATGCATATGCAGCAACCAGCCAGCGAGCTATGTACATTGGCCTGTCTAGGAACAAAATTGAGCGCTTGTTGGCACTGATGACGGCGCGTCGTGCCATAGGGCAGGGTTGTTTGCACCACTCACCCACCGCGCCATGCCGCGCCGCGTTGCACCTCAGCACCACAGCTCACCTTCACAGTACGGAATTTCCATTTTGGTTTATTAGCGTTCGGCGTGTTTCAGCTGTCGAGCCACTACCACTGCCACCGCTTACCTAACGCGCATTCCAATTTCAAAAATTCCAATTGCCCCTTTACCTGCCCAACCCTACATACATGGAGTATACTCAAGAGTGTTTGTATGTATGTATATGCGTTCGCCTGGCATACCCGAAAAAATTCAGCTGCTCATAAGTACTTTTTCACTTAATAATACTATTTATAGACATGATTCCAATTAGAAATTACAATAAACGGTGTGTTTTTGTCGGAGAGCAACAGCAGGGCAGTAGGCAGTAGGCATCAGACATCAAACCCCATACGCAGGCACATTGCTCTCTTCGGTGGTGGTGGTGGTTTATGGTCATTCACATAGCACATAGCACTGCAGAGAATAAGTAGTTAAACTACTTAAAATATTAACTGGTAAAAAGTAATGCGAATGCTAACTAGTTCGTTAACTGGTACGATGCTGTTGCGAACGCTGACCAGTTAAATAATTTCGAACAACAAGTGGCGACATCTTTCTACAAAGTGCCGGATTGCTAGATCAAAAACGAAAAGAGTCTTCTCGCGCATAATCTCTGTGGCCTCGTGTGAATACTATGGCTTCCCGTACTCAGTTCGCGGATTCGAGTCCACTTACTTACTTTGTATATTTTAAATTACTAAAAGGTAGATTGGCAGGACAACTCTGGCTAAGATAGTTGCAAGTATTTTGCAAGACAATTGAAATACAGTAGTCAAGATAGTTCTAGAAAATTTTGTTTATTCTGGCGAGCAAGTTCTACAAAAAAAGGTATTTTACCAACTTTCATGGTGAAAAGCTCTGGTGGAGAAAAGCTCTTTTGAACATGTTCCTAATGGAGATGTATTTATATCATTTTGCTCGCGCTGCTCCAACTGTCGCAATGGCCGAATGAGCAAAGCACTGGCATAACACACCAGGCATCTGAAGTTCGAATCCTCGGGCAGCGAATTGTTTTCCTTTTTGCAATATAGTATTGTTTCTTTTTTAAATTTAGTTTCTTTTAATTTATAGACTTTATGCGTTAAAAAAAAAAGAAAATAATATCTTCTGAATAAATTTCTGAATTTATTTATGTATTGTTTCTCTTTTTTTTAGTATTTTTTTCTTTTTCAATTTAATATTCTTTTAATTTTTAGGTTTTATTTTGTTTAAAAAGAGAAAAAAATTGTTTAATTTCATTTAGTTTTAAGTAAAGTCTTATTTTTTTATTTTTTATAATATTTTTTTATTCTTTAATGTAATTTTCTTTCAATTTTCAAAAACAAAAAGCATTTAATTTCGTTTAATTTTTAGGAACTTGTTTTTGGTTTTTTGTATTTTCTTAATATATTTATTTTTTGTTTATATTTAATTTCTAGATTTTATTGTTTTAAAAAGAAATATATACATTTTTTAAATTCATTTAATTTTTAGAAACCTTGCGTACATATTTCTTTAAAAAATTTCCTCTTTTATTTTTTTTCATTTAAGTTCTTTATTTTATCTAGATTTCTTGAATTGAACTTTTTTTTAAATTGAAATTTCCTTTAAATTTTAGATTTTATTGTTTTTAAAAGAAAATATATATATTTGTTTTTATTTAATTTTGTTCATTAAATTTTAGAAACCTTTCTTTTGTACATATTTCTTAAAAAAAAAATTGTTTCCCCCTTAACTTAGTTTTTAGATTTTGTTTTCAAACGGAAATTTTTCTTCATTTAATTTCTTAATTTAATCTAAATTTTTTTAATGAAACTTTTCTATTTTAATTCAAATTTATTTTAATTTTTAGATTTTATCGATTAAGAAAAAATACGTAAATTTTTTAATTCCATTTAATTTAAAAGAACTTATTTTCTTTGTGCCTTTTTTTATTTAAGGATTAATTTTCTTTTAATTTGTAGATTTTACTGTTAAAAAAAATATGTATTTTTTTAATTTAGTTAAATTTTTAGAAACATTATATAATTTTTTTTGTTTAAACAAATATTTTTTAAATTTAATTTTCTTCCTGGGTTCGTGGCTCCCAGTGATTGCTATTTCGGAAGTAGATAGAAGTTGAACTACTTGGGCTACAAAGCAAACTGGTTGTCAGCCAGCTAAGAACTAGTAGCTTTCACTATGGGGACCAGCCCGGTTGTTGATGGTGGTGGTTGTTGCAGTCGTTCGATGAACGCAGCATTTACGCTTGCTGATCGCGCTGGTGTTTCACTTGGCTGACTTTGATGTGGTGCCGTTGTGGAATGGAATTTTTTTAGGGGTGCAATGGTAAATAGGCGGAAAGGACTATAGGCATACATATGTGCCTACGCAGCTTTGCGAAATGTGGTATGCGGCGTGAACCTCCCCAAAATTATGGAATGCGGATAAGTAAATATTCAGTTAGCTAGTGTATAGTTACAAATCAAATGTACATATATATGTATTCGTGAACTGCTCAAACAGTTAGAAAGCTACAAAGAAGCTGGTATGTACATACATACTTCGTCGTTCGCTTTACTTCCCTTAATTTCATATTGACTAGGCCATTGCTGAACGTTGGCTACTCGGAAATTTTGTTCTCTTTTCCGTACACACTCACCCTAAATAATTGCAATATCCTGTATTTTCCACGAACTCAGCGAAATTTCGAAGCACTTTGTGATATTTTCCTTTCCTTTTTGAAAGATCCCTTTTATGTATTATTCTGTTATAGAGGTGAATGTACTTCTCAGTGAATTTGGTATACAAAAAATCGGGAATGCTAGAAAAGGGGAATATTTTTAACGCTACCGTTTTTCCTAAAATGTATTGGTGAGCTATGAGAAATAACTACGTTCAGCATTGATTAGGATACGCATGCGTGCATCTAATTATTCAGCAGGAATATTGTAATGAATGGGCAGTGTGTGCTGCAAATGTACGCTGTTCCAGCGAAGATCGTAGTAAACTTCTCACATATGTAATTATAAAAGCAACGAAATTTGTCAAGCGTCTCTCGAAGGGCACATAACATATATCTATGTATGTATATAATAATTTATTTGAGCTCAAATGAAATACTCATTTCTTACTGAATATAAAACACAATTGCTTAGGTCAGAGATCCAATGATAAGCGAGTGAACTCGGTATTTCAGCGCGTGAGACTGTTTGTGCTATTAAGTACAGTTATAATATCTGCATATTACTCTTTTCACAACAATCTAACGGCATAAAGTCTTTCTTAGTCAGTGCTTGGTACTAAACTTTCAGTCCCATCGCTAGCCTCGAAGCGTGGCTAAGCAGATCACTTGGAGATACATATGTAAATATGTACACATTTAGTAATTTTAAAACTTTAGATAAGTTTTTCTCGAAAATGGGCTCAAGTTTTGACCATCTTAGACTGGACATAAATTTTGACATAAATAAATTTGGATTTGGCCCTTCGAAAACTGGATATTGATTATTGGTGATTAATTTACTAGTTGCTTATTACTAATTGGATATACATTTTTGGTCATTTAAAAACTGGACATTTAAAATAAATAAAAAAAGCATTGTAATAACTAAAACTGGTCACAGGCAGCTGAAAAATAAAAAGTGGACGTGTGAACGGGATCTTTTGCGAAGCATTCCATGAAAAGAAATTTTACATGTTCTGCTTTAAATGCCCTAAAGAATTATGTTCAGTTTTTAACATACAAAACTTAATGTCAAGATTTTAATGAAATAAAATAAATATGCTGCTTTTTAGTATCCTAAAATATATTTCGAATTAATAAATGACTAAAAATTTATTTCCTATTTTTAACTGAGAAAAGATGTATGTATGCTCAATTTCTAAATTACCAAAAATTTA